CAGCAGCACTTTGGCTGGGGAGACCTTCCACTCAATGTGAAAATGTACAAATCATTATTAATATATATTTATAATCATTTCAGGATGGAGCTGAATAAAGTCTAGTTGCCATTCAAGCATAGGCCCAGAGGGAAGGGCTATTGTTCAGGTAGGAATTTAAGATGTTTCCTGGCACTGTGATTAGGGGACATAGGGAAGTAAGAGGCAACATGTTCAGCAGTTTCAAAGAACTTTCTCCATTAATGTTTCTTTAGGGTCTCAATTATTTTATCTCTTTCTGAATGGGAACTTTCATGCAAAGTGTGCATCATAGGAATGTTTAAGAGATCAGGTAGGACAGGTTTCTTTTTAGGTCCTATTCATAATTAGGTGGTGGTGTTGTTGTTATTTGCCATTGAGTTGGACCTGACTCATAGCGACTCCTCCTTGGGTTTCTGAGGCAGTATCACTACAGAGGTAGATTGCCCAACCTTCCTTCCGAGGAGTGGCTGATGGGTTTGAACCTCTATCCTTCTGGTTAGCAGTCATGTGCCTCAGGTGGTAGGATCTTGGTAACAGTTTTCTTTCTTTATTCTCAGTCTGGAATTAATAAAAATTACCCTTTTCCCTTAAATAAAAACACATTTCATATACTATCTAGCTTAAATAATTTAGGAAGGTTTTGCTTTCAGGGTTGATATAAACATAAAATCTTTGCCAGAATGAATTTATTTTCATTAATTCCTGGGATTATTAGGACTGTTTAATTTTTAAGCACTTATTTCTCAGTAAACCAATCAAAGTAAGCTCTTTGAAGGGGTATTATTATCTAATTTAATCATAGCATCCAGAGGTAGGAAATTTTTACATTTTCATCACCCTGTCTTACATGCCCTTATAGACTCACACATAATCAAAACAAAACAAAAAACCCCAAACTCACTAGCGTCGAGTTGGATCTGATTCATAGCGACCCCTCCTTGGGTTTCCGAGGTGTTATCACTACAGAAGTAGATTGTCCAATCTTCCGAGTAGTGGCTGGTGGGTTTGAACTGCCAGCATTCTAGTTAGCAGTCAAATGCCTTTGGCACTATGCCACCAGAGCTCCCTATAGAGTCCTATAGAGAAGCAATTTAGAATAATTTAATCCATCCTTTCTTCACTGCATGTTTAAAATAGAGTAATTTATATTAAAGTGTCTCAGTAGCTACCAAAAAAAAGTGACTGTGAGACGTGTTTAACTTGATAAAAGACAGAAACTCAGACACAACAGTTTAGACTAGAGGCAACTTCTCAGAACAAAACAAGACAAAAGAATCATAAACTCACTGGTCTATGAGGCTAGCCCAAAAACCAGGCTTATACAACATAAAGCAAATAGGGGATTTTGTTTATTAAAATACATAGAATTCTTTGGTAAGATCAACTCAGCTCAACAGAAGAACATGTTTCAATTAAAACTAGCTTATCAGAGTAGAGTATCAGAGGAATCTCCTGCCCTCTGAAATTCATGACCAAGACCACAATTATCTTGCAAACTATTTTTTCTTCAAATCAATTAATTTATTTAAAAAGTACATTTCCTGAGGGCAGTTTGTTCAAACAATTGCGGAGAATATTCTTGTCATGTGTTTCCTCTGTTGTTGTTGTTGTTGTTATGTGCCTTCGAGTCGGCCCCGACTCATAGCGACCCCTCCTTGGGTTTCCGAGGCAGTATCACTACGGAAGTAGGATTGCCCAACCTTCCTTCCGAGGAGTGGCTGGTGGGTTTGAACCGCCAGCCGTCTGGTTAGCAGGCAAAGTGTCTTAGCCACTATGCTACCAGAGCTCCCAACACTATAATAATATCCACCTCTCCTTCTCTCTCCTCCCTTTGGTTTCTTAAGAACGAGGCAGGTTAACTCTTCATTGAGAAGTTCTGCCTGAATGCCTGTGTAGTTTAGACATTTTCAAACATACGTTTAACACAGTAGCAGTGGTTTAGACCCACCAACTGCTGTGCAGAAGGAAGACTGGGTGATACACTTCCGTGAAGATTTATAGCCTCAGAAACCCAGTGGAAGTCACTATGAGTCGAAATGACTCGATGGCAGTGAGTTTGTTGTTGTCGTTGTTATGTGCCATCGAGATGGACCGGCAGTGAGTTTGGTTTTGGTTTTTTGGCTTCTAATGTTACCATTAACTGGTTGCTGAAGAGTGGGTTCTGATTTTCAGAAGTAGATTATCAGACATTTTTTCTGACATACCGCTAGGTGGACTGGAAACTCCAGCTTTTAGGTTAGCAGCTAGTGCATTAACATTTGCACCACCCAGAGACTCCTTTCTCAGATGTAGATTATATTATCTCCATTTTATCTCTGGGGAAAATAAGGCATGGAAAGAGAGCACCTAGTTTAAGTCCTCTGGTAGCATAGTGCCTAAGGCACTTGACTGCTAACCAGAAGGCTGGCAGTTCAAACCCATCAGCCACTCCTCGGAAGGAAGATGGGGCAATCTATTTCCATAGCGATACTGCCTCGAAACCCAAGGAGGGCTCGCTATGAGTCGGGCCTGACTCAATGATAACAACAACAACAACAGCAGTTTAAGTCCTATGACTTAATGAGTGGTGGAGCTGTAGTTTGCACCTGAATTTGTGTGATTTTAAGGAGCCCTGGAGGCATAATGGAGCTCCCTCCGGTGGTGCACTGGTTAAGGCTGTTAACCAGAAGGTTGGCAATTTGAACCTAATAGCTGCTCTGTAGAAGAAGGATGAGGTGGCTTGCTTCCTTAAAGATTCACAGTCTTGCAAACCCTATGTTATTGTTTGTTGTTATGTGCCATCGCGTTGGACTCGACTCATAGTGACACCTCCTTGGGTTTCCAAGGCGATATCACTACGGAAGTAGATGAGCTCCTTGCAAACCCTATGGGACAGTTCTCCTCTGCCCGGTAGGGTCACTATGAGGCAGAATCAACTCGATGGCAGTGAGTTTTTAGGTTGTGTATTGGTTAAAGTGCTCATCTGCTAAGTGAAAGGTTGGCAGTTTGAATCTATCAGCTGCTCTGTGGAAGAAAGGTGTGGTGGTCTACTTCCATAAAGATAATACAGGCAGTTCTACTCTGTCCTATAGAGCCTCTATGAATTGGAATCAGCTTGATGGTGGTGGGTTTTGTTTTGGTTGTGTGAGCTTGTTTGTTCATCGTCACTAACCAAGTCTTTTAAACTGAGCCATAAGATAATTTAAGGCTGTTTTAAACTAGGCCCTAGCAGAATTTAAAGCTGTAGTAAAGGAGATTAATTTATGTTTTTAGAGGTCTTTTTTTTTTTTTTTCATATCATAAATATTTGTATTTGTAAAAATACTTTTGCTTTCTCTTAAATATTAAAGTGAATTAACATTGTTCAACCAGTGTTTCAGAATAACATTATAACAGAAACATGCAAGGTTAAGTCTGTTAACATATACAGTCATACCTTGTGGGAATTTATATCTATGGACTTCATGGGACTACTGAGATATCCCAGGCTTGATCCTCTGCTCTTTCCTTTATGCAAAATCTCTCTGGAGAACTCTCTGAGTTCTATGGTTTTAAATGGCAAAAAGTTTAAAACCTCAAATTTATAACCCTGTTCCTGGAATCTATACTGAGTTCCAGATTTATAGACAGTTGCCTATGTGATACCACCCATTGGGTATCTGACTGATATAATAAAACTTTACATGGCAGATCATCACTTGATTTCACCCCAAACTGGTTCCTCCTTCACTGTTAATAAAGAGCTCACTGTTTACCCACTCAAGACAGAAGGTGTAGGAGTAATGAGGAGTGATTATTGATTCCTTTTAGTTTTTCACACCTTATATCTAATCAGTTAACCAGTTCTTTTAGATTCTACCTTGAAAAAACATTTTTTGGGGAATATCTCCTCTTTGTATCTGCACTGCTACTATCTTGATCTAATTGAATGTCAAATATTTTAATTGCTTTCTACCTACTTAATTGCTTCTGTCCCCTCTCTACCATCACAATGTTGGAATCGACTTTTAACTATATATGTTGTTGTTGTTGTTATTATTAAGTGCCGTCCGGTCAGATCTGACTCACAGCAACCCGTCCTTGGGTTTCCAAGGCAGTATTGCTAGGGAATTAGATTGCCCAACCTTCCTTCCGAGGAGTGGCTGGTGAGTTTGAACCTCCAGCCTTCTGGTTTGCAGTCAAGTGCCTTAGGCACTACGCTACCAGAGCTCCTAGCATATTACATTACTCCCCTGCTTTTAAATCTTCTAGTAGTTTTCCATGACAAATCCCATTATGAACTACTCTTTGCTAGCCTACTGTTCTTCAGTCACACTGGCTTTTTTTTGTTTTTGTTTTTGCTGTCTTAGGGTCTTTGTATTTGCTGTTCTCTCTGCATTCAGAAGGTTTTCCCTGACCATTATTTAAAGAAGTTCCTCAACCCTCACTGAACACTGTGCTCTGTTCATGCTTACCTCATTGTATTAGTTTCCTATTACTGCTGTAACCATAAGTTAGTTGTTGCTGTTAGTTGCCTTGGATTAAGTTCCAACTCATGGAGACTCCATGCATTTAGTGGCTTACAATAGTGCAGATATATTTGGTACTATGACATACCAAAATATATTTAACCAGTCAGATTCTGGTAATTGCCAATGTTTTGCTATTCCAAGCAATTCTGTGGTGAATAACCTTATTATTCTATATGTTGTTGGTGTTGTTAAGTGCCGTTGAGTTGGACCCGACTCATAGTGACCCCTCCTTGGGTTTCCAAGGCAGTGTCACTACAGAAATAGATTGTGCAACCTTCCTTCCGAGGAAGTATATCTTACTGTATTTTGGAGATTAAGTTTACTGTTAAGTAATGTGAAAGCCATCTAGTACTTTCTAGATAATCTTACTTGTTTCATTTAATTTTATAAAATTATTTCTTTTAATTTTGGCTTCCAGTTAGGAAAGCATGTGAAAATTGGTCCCAACAATTTTCTAGAGGTAAACCAATTTCTTGTTTTATTGTTTAGGAGATGTTGGAAGCTCTCAAGGCACTTTCAGCCTTTTTTGTTGAAAATAGCTTACGAACTCGAAGAAATTTACGTGGAGATATTGAACGCAGAAGTTTAGCCATCAATGAAGAATTTGTAAGCATTTTCAAGGAAGTGAAAGAGGTATGTTAGTTCTTTTCCTTTAGCATTTAGCACTGTGGGGGAAAGAGAAGTGTTATTTTTATGAATTAGGTAGAATATACTTGCTAGTCCTGTACCAAGTTCACATAGAAAATTTATTTATTTGTGCTGTGTCTAGGTATTGATTTGGATTAGTATGATCCTAAATCTGTAACTTCCATTAATGCTGGTTCTTAGAAATTTATAGCATTTGTTTTAATCGATTCTCTTAGAAATTTTAGCTTTTTTGTTGAACATTTTTTTCTGAGTGGTTTTACAATAGAAGTATCTTGATTTGACTAGACCTTCCATTGGATGACAACTTCTTACTTGGATATTAAATAGGATTAAGTTACTTTACTGCATTCTAAATTGTGAAATTTTCAGATTAATTAGTATCAATTACTTTAATGCATAAATAATGAATCATTGTACTTAAGTTAGCAGTCTACTCAGCTAAGGGTGGAAATGTATTTATTATGTAATATTAACATACATCCATGTAAAATGTATGAAACTGTTATACATGGTTTCATTGGGTCCTTAATAAATGAAATTGGATTTTTTT